CCCTTGAAAACATACATAATTTATATTTATTTCAGCTACACTTTAAAATGTATTCTCCCAAATTTCCACCTATTAAACCCCGTGATTATTATGCTGCCAGATTGGTAAGATTATCAATGAGGCAGTTTTCACATATTATAATATAGAGAGTAGTGCATTTCTTACACAGGTGTTATCCTATTCAAGTTCAGTTGCAAGCATCTCTTGAATGTGGCTCTAGCTTCTGTGTCTTGTGTTGACTGCTGCTTTCCTCCACAATGACCACATTCTTTTATCTGCTTAAGACATCTTAACTGTTCTAAAGAGTGTTTTATGGGAAAATTGAAAAACAGGGCCTTATTTACACTGACTGCCTATTATCTACAATAGGTTTCACTGTTCCTTGAGTTTTTCATGGTATATGCAAGGAGATTGTCAGATCTGTAAAGGCACCTTGCTGTGCTCAGAAAGTGCAAGGAATATTTGTAAAGTCTTAAATATAGGCATACAACTGGCCTGAGGAGATATTTGAGGCAGTTATAAGTTTCTTTTGCTTGAAACTATATAGTATCTTCTATAGTTTAAAAAACAGCAAAGAGTTTTTGCAACATTAATGAAAGATGATACTGTAGACTCCTCCTCTGAAAAACATAGGTTTGGATTCTGTCTTCTGGTGCTGGTTCAGTTTTCTGGAGACCAACCCACTCTCCAAGGTACTATGCTAAACTATAGTAAAATGAAGACGAAATTAGGGGTTTTTTCACTATAATCTATGATAATAGTTAAGACTGAAAGTGTTTCTCTCTCAAAAAGGAGTGGGTAGAGATTGTTTCCCTTCTTTCAAAGAAGTGAAATGAACTTACTGTCTCATGATGATTTGTTAAAGATATGTTTGCTTAAAGAATGCAGCAATATTTTGTAAATATAACAGCTCATATAAATATTTATTCTTCTCTATAGCATGAAATTTCTACAACTTCTGTGGGCGTTTTTATTTCTGTTAGGAAATTCAGGAAATTACAGTTATATTCATTTGTTGCGTCTGCTGTTTGTTTTGTTTGTTCATTTTCTGTTTTGTTTCGCACGTGTCATCATAGATGTTGTAATGATTTCAACCACACTCTTGCAATGTTCTCCATTGCTGGCTATGCTTTGTAACAATTACATATTAAACTTTACTTTTCAGTTTTAGAGATCATCCTTTCACTTTGTGCCATTATAATTTCGTTCATTACAAACTCTGCTGCCTCCAAGCATGTTCTCTTCAACTCCATCTCCGGTTTTCCATCAGTTCTTCACAGTCTCCTACACATTACATAGTAATATTTCAACTAGATGTTTTTCTCTTCATTCACAGTGATTAGATTTCTAATGTTCAGTTGCTGGGTTGGCATGTCTCTTTAAAAGTATTTGCAGTACAAGCTAGTAAAACTCATTATTTACTCATTCTGGCCAATGTCATTATCTGTTCCTACTCCTGTATATACTTGACCATCCTTAAATAGAGGCTGTCAGGTGTCTGGATCTATTCCAGTAGGTCTTGCTTACAGTTAGGATGCAAAGATGCCATTCATTTGAATTCTTAAATGGCTGTTAGATTCAGACTTGACATTTGTGATGAAACTGGAACTTTCCCTGTGTCCATGGCAATAAAGTTACATCCATTAAGACAGTCGGTGTTTATTACCCTTCTTAGCTATTTCTTGGCAGAAGTGGACAGTTAGCTTGATTATAAAGTAAATATTCACTTGAAAGATTATGACAGATCTGAAAACCTCCCTGCCCTAGAGATGTGTTCCAGATTCATTTCTTTCCCTGCTTTTCCCTCTATTTTGCTTTGCAACTGTGGTGTAAAAATGGCTGAACAGACAACATTTTGAGGATGGGACTTTTGCAAGTTCTTTAGGAAGTCTGCAGTCTGTGCTGGAGGCTGTGCACAATGTTGCACATATTGTAGTATAATTGGAAACACTGAAGCAAGGCACCTGACTTTTAAAAATATTTTTTTTGAAAACACTGAAATCACTGGCTGTGATTTTCCCCTGTAAGGAAGCCTGGTATAGCCAGGTTGCATGCTATTATTTTTTGAGGAGGTTGATAGATACATACACTTACTACATACCATAGGCCAATGAACATAGTCACCAATTCAATCTGTGCCTGTCTCAAAGTTGTAGAATAAAACCAGATCCTCACCCTAGTTTGTGCTCCCAGGTGGTCATTGCAAAATCAGGCATAGGCAGGAGGAATTTAAAGCAGAGAAGATAGATTATAGAAGTCAGAAGTAGCAGAGTTTACTGAGACAGAGGTAGATCTCAGATAACATTCTATTCCTTTTTATTGAATTTGTGTATGACCCACTACTCCTGAGAAGAATAGTGTTTCTTTCTGATAATCTCTGGGATCTCTGTCACTGTTTCTTCACTTAAAGCTCAGTCAGTTATGACTTTAAACATTTCTGAGTGCTGATCCTCTTAGACAACAAACAAAAAAGGAATGGTTTGGGAGATGCTGAAAGAAAGTAAAAGGAAATGTGAGGAATTTAGAATGTATGCCAGGATGGAAGAACAAGAGCAATGACAACTGTCCTGGGGAAGGCATTAGTGCTGCAGTTCTCAAAGTGAGAATATTTTATTTCATTGTGGGATAGTATGCTGCTGTAACCATAATCTGGCTGTAGATGCCAGACCCAGCACAGTGGCAGGAAGAAATATTGGTCTGTACAAGAAACACGTGCTGAATGTGCACCTGATTTTTGTCTAATGCAGGAAAAAGATAACAAGCCAAATTTAACATATCGTGAATCATACTGAATCTGTTGTCTGCCAGTTAAACAAGTGATATAGAGTTGTACTGACTGTTCTAAAAGCCATACCAACTAATTTACATCTGTAAAATGATCCCATGGCTTCTTCTTCTCCTACTTAGCATGTTTTCCCAACTTCTGTGCTCAAAAAAAAATCTTTTCATTCAGTAATTAACACAGTGTCACGATTTAACCCCCAGCCATCCACCCAGCAAGTATCATGCAGCCACTCACTCACTCACTCTCCCACCAGTGGGATAAGGGAGGGAATCAGAAGGGTAAAACCTGGAAAACCCATGGGTAGCAATAAAGAGAGTTTAATAGGGAAAGCAAGAGCCATGCATGCAAGCAAAACAAAACAAGTAATTAATTCACTGCTTCCCATGGGCAGGCAGGTGTTAAACAATCCCCAGGAAAGCAGGGCTCCATCACATGTCCCAGTGACTTGGGAAGACAAAAGGCATAATTCCAAATGTTCTACCCCCCTCCTCCTTCTTCTCCCCAGTTTATATGCTGAGCATGATGCCATATGGTCTGGAATATCCCTTTGGTCAGTTTGGATCAGCTGTCTTAGCTGTATCTCCTCCAAACTTCCTATGCACCCCCAATTTCCATACCAGCATGGTAGTATGAAAAGCAGAAAAGGCCTTGGCTCTGTGTTAACACTGCTTACCATGAACAAAGACATCTCTATATTGTCAAGAACAAAGACATCTCTATATTGTCAACCCTGTGCTCAGCACAAATCCAAAAAATGAAGTTTTGTTAATTATATGTTTACATATAATTAGACTTCCTACTAACTTCCCATGTTATTTGGTGTTGTACTCTCCCTTCCAGTACTTCTCCAGGTCTTAAGACTGGCTATTCAGTGTTCCTCAGGAAAATTCAGAAGATTTTAACAGTAATTAGCACATTGGTTCTCTTCAGTTTTGGAGTCTACTTGAGGCTACTTTTCTGTATTTTCTTACTTGTTGTTCCTCATCATTTCCCAAGCAAAGTTTGAGAACCACATGTTGCCCTCCCTCAGCCCAGTTACCTTGGAGGGTACAGTGACTGTGTAGGGGTGCCAGCCCTGGCCTTGGGTGCTCCCAGGGCGAAGCCAATGTGGAGGGAGCACAGGCACATGGTCACCAGGCACTTGCTGCCAAGGGTAAAACCAGCTCTCATCAAGACAGGGCCAGACATGTCCTGAGAGCCTACACAGAGCCTCTGGCCTTGTGCTAGTGATGGAAAACCACTATTTTCTGAGTTGCAGAACAGAGCTTCCCAAACATTTCTCTTGCAATTATTACCAACTCACAAGAGAAATCTTTCAAGACTTCACATGGCTTAGAGCTCATCTCTGTGTATTTGCAGTGTTGGATCTTTAACATTTACTGTTGCTGGCACAGAGAAGATTGCATGATGCTGTTTTGGTCAGAGAGCTACCTAAAATATTTATCAGTGTGAGAATGTGATCCTTTGTGTTCAGAAAAAATGTACTTTGATATTTTTAAATTATTCAAAAACTTTTCATGAATGAATCATAATTCTCATCATATATTCTGACTCTGGTTTGTGATACATAACTGTCTTTCCTTAGAAATCAGAATAAGAATAGAAGTGAAGAGTGAATGCTAAAAGCGATGATTTTTCAGAGGTCAAAATCCAGATAAGTAAGAAAAAGGGATGCAGGCTCATTTCATTGCTATAGTCACCTAGAATCAATAAAGACCTGCATATGTTGGTATATATGTGCTTTATTAAATGAATGTGATACAAATCTAAATCCCATAATTTTTAACACAATGAATATTAAAACAAACTAGGGAAATGATGGACTTTATTGCTTTTTAAACTGCTTTAAATATAGTAAAGTGTAGTAAAATCCGGTAAGCTGAAATCAGTAACCCTTGCCATGAATGTGCATTTATAATAACCAGACTTTGAAAGCCTCTTTCTAGTGGCTACTGCTGTGAAGTCTGTTCTGCAATAATAACCTTTTTTTTTTTTTTTTACTTTATTGCATCACATGAAAACAGCCTTAAAAATTTTCTAAGTTCTTTTCACTGCACTATAATCAATTTAGAAAACTTCAGTCAAAATACTCCCACATTCTGACACTTTACTGAAAACATCCAGCACAGGACAAAGATTTGTTCACTGAATGACACCAAGTAGGTAGAATTGCTACTGTGATTTTTAGTAAGTCATTTTCCTCTTGCCTTTTCAGACTATGGTACTATTAAGAAGGTACTTGCCCCAATGAACCAGACTTCAAGCAGCTGCCTGCTCGAGGAAATTGAACTCCTGCCGAAAAGTCAGCGAGAGCCCATCAGGAGCCTTCAGATCTTACACAGCCAGAGTGTTCTTTTTGTGGGCCTTCAGGAACATGTGATTAAGGTCCCCCTGAAGAGATGTCTCTTTTACAAAACATACAGGTATGAAGAATCAGCTATTTGTATTTGATTGGAGAAACATACATGCAGGGGGTTGCAGAAAAATAGGAAAGAAAAATGACTGCAAGTAGGAATCCAAATTATTTGTCCTTGTCAGCAATGACTTACTCTGTACACTGTTTATCAGAAGTGTCTCTGACTTCTTGTACTAGCTTGTTAGGACTAGATGAGACTCTCAAGGAATTATATTGATATTTAAGTGTCATTATGCAGATTCTGAATTGTGAAGTGAAACAGTAAGAAATGTTTTATATAGAAAACAGGTATCTAGTAAAGTGCAATATAGCTGCGGCTTTAATATATTTAAAGACTGAGACTTGGATAAATTTAAGTTAGGCTTTGGGGTTTTTTTAAAGCTGTATTATAACTGAATAAACAATATCTCTGTGGATTCAGGAAGAACACTAAGTTGGATGAACTGAGAATTAAGAAGTGGCTATTCAAAGGTAAATTTGAATCAACAAAAAATAAATGCAAATATGCTTTTAAGTAAAAGGACTGTGCAGCTGACAGTTGTTCAATCAAACAAAGAGGATATTTAACAAATTACCACTTGGTTATAGACTGTATTATGGTAGTTAAGGAATTTAAACTTCAGCACACAACTATTTCTATAGGCTATCTGAAAATACCTCTGGGTTGCAAAGCATGTTATTAGAGATTCATAATTCCATTTAATTAGTTGGATCTTCCCTCTAATATGTGAGGTCTTGGTAATTCAGTACAATTGTTTTGTGCTACATCGGACTGAACCAGTGTGATGAGATTTTGAAAACTGTTACTGAGGCGTTGGTTTTTTAGCTGGATTTACCTTCACCTTGTTCAACACACGTTCCTTTGGAAAGTTGGGCTATTAAAGGAAGGAGAAAGGCTGCCAGTTGCCGTTCTTGGCTGCTACACTGAGCATCACAGAGATGTTATTTGTGCAGCAAAGAGATTATACCTCCCATAAAAGGCAGTGAACATTTGCATGTAGAGATATTTCTGGCTATCAGAGGGACCACACAGGTGGTCACAGAAGGTAGGTGACCACAGGATGCAGGTGTAGAGCTGTGACAGTGGAAGGACATTTCCAAGGGACGTGGCTCACTGTGGGGATTGGTATCATGCAGGAGGCTACTAGTTTGAGAGCAAGACTGAAGGAAAAGCTGTACCCTAGAAAATGAGCAGACCATGGAAGGGAAGTATTCTACTTTTTACAGTTTTTTACCAGCAATTTTTTTCTTTTGTTTATGCTGTCTTATGTATCATATTTTATAAGTTTCTTCTGCAATAGAAGGACATTCAAAACCCCATTGGAAGTTCTGCAAAGCTTACTTTAAGGAAAAGTTATATAGGGGCAAGTCTCTGCTTCAAACATTTTGTTGGTTTAGGAGCCTACATAGAACCAAGTTTCATCTTTCCTTGGTTTAGTGACTTCAAACAGGATGTGTGGTGGTCCTGTAGCCCTTTCTGGTTTTTTTCCTCCTTTTCATTAATTAATGACTTGCATATTAGGAGGGGCATATGTATGCAAGTGTGTATATCTGAAGAAGGAAAAAAACTTAGTGACATAAATAAAAGCTTCTCACTTTGATTGAATATTACATGATTAACCCATTCTGCTTGCACGAAACAGTAAACATATTGCCCTAAGCAGATGTGTTTATTTCAGAAAGGGAGATCAGTCTATGACTGTGTTTCTCTAGGGTCTGTGTACCCATGACAGCCATAAACACAGGGAGCTCAATAATACGGGTGTCTTGTATTTACACCAAGCGTGCGGTTCACTTTGGACGTTACAAGGCTGGAGGCCTTATGTCAGTAGTGACATATGAACTCCAAAATCCAGAGATGAGACTTCCAGAGCACCTGCTTAGCTGGTGCCTGTGTGGAGGTCCCACAGATCCCTGTTACCTGTGCTTCTGTCAGGACAGTTCCCAAGGCACATCAGGGTTATTCTGGCTACAGGGCCCAAACATGCTTCTGGCCTCTCAAGGTGGGACTGCTGTCTAAAATCATAGGCCCCATGTATGGCTACAGGCTAGGCATTCCTCTCCCTCTTTGAGGAGTGGGGTCTAATTAGCTAATTTTAAAAATTTCTCTAAAACGAAGTGGTGCCATTCCCATTTTACTGCATAGAACAGTAGCTAAATGACTCAAATCTTGCTCAAATGATAATTTATTCCTCTGCTCAGAGTTAAGTAAAGTCTCATCTTCCACTGGAGTGACTTACTTAAAAGGAGATAAAATGATTCCTCATGGGGTTTTTCAACCGTATCTTTTGTAGTTGCATGATTTTTTTCTTGTAGTAATTAAAAATTCATTGCACCAAAAGGGTTGCCATCCATGATTTCTTCTTGGTTAAAGAGTTCACCAGCAATTCTAGCTCTGTTTTGTGAGAAAGGAGAGGATTTACAGGTGTGATGCAGATGAAATAAGGAATCTCCTTGTCATCTATCATTAGGGACTCAGATTATTCAGACAACGCAGATGTAATCTTTCTCTCACCTTAACTTACTTCTGGTTTGACAAGTTTTTTCCTGGCTTATGCTAGATTTGTATTTTTTGCATATGGAGAGAGTGTGAGTATGTTACTTGGGCATATTTCTCTAGGCAATGAAACACCTGAAACTTGCTCACTGCATTGTTGGGTGCTTTAATACACACATTCTTCTGTTTCCAACTACTACTTCTGTACTATAGCAATGGGTAAATAGAGTAATGGGTAAACCTTACCTAAGGTAATGCCTTTGGGCATTGTGGTTTTGGGGGGGGGATTATTTTAATTTTATTTATTTACATTTATCATACTTAGGGCTGTATAACTCTGCCAAGGCTATACTCTGAGATTCCACCAATAATTACTAGAATCTCTTCCCCATATCAAGGACATGTAGAGTCTTTAATATCTGCTTCACATAATTGTTGAGAAATAGAGCATGCTTGTCTATGAATAACAGCCTTAAAAAAGCCAAAAGGCCGAAGACGTGCTGGCTCACCTGCTCTGTGTTTTTGTGTCAATGGTGGAGTGCTCATCGTTTAATCTTATCTAATCTCTTTGTTTAGGTTTATTGCTTAGCTTTCAGAAAATGCAACTTCAGTCCCTCTACTGAGCAGACTGTTCCACAAGCTTATATCTCAATGTCAAGATATTTTTCTTTCTTTCTGAATAATTGTCTAATTATTCCTTGTTTCATCTTCCCATACTAGCCTCTAAAGCATGTGGTTATTGCTTTTATTTGGAGATTATTATATCTCTTTAATTATCACTCTAATATGCTCTGCAAATTGTAAATCTGTTCCTCCAGCACTTTTCTGTGGTGGAGTAGCCCTGCGACGTGCTGTTGTCTCTGACAGACATTCCCTTTGACTCAGAACAGTTCTGTTTGCATGACCTCATGACTCCTCTGCTCACACAAATACTGTTAACAAAGGCCCTCGAAAATATTGTTTTACATTTGGAGGCTAATTTTTTTTTTTTTAATTTTTGGGTTTTTTTGTGATTTAGGTACAATTTGCTTCGTTACTGTAACAGCAGACCATACCACAGACAGAGCCTGTCTGGGTTTCTCAGCACTTTTAATTGTGCCATGGTGTTTTCATCATTCATGAGTTGCCCATTCTAGTTATTTGGATTGACAGTTTTCATGGGGGGCAGGCGGGCGATATCTCATGCACACTTCAGCCAATGTCTGAATAGTTTTGAACATCCTGTCATAATCCTGCTGGTTTCAGGAGTCAGCTAGGGAAAAGTAATCTGGAATGTGTCAGTACCTAGAATCAGTTTTCAAAAAACTCTGGCATCCTTAAGTTCCAGGAGAAAGCAGCAGAGCAGTTACCTAAGTGCGGTTCTCCCTGGGGAAAATCCTTTAAGGTTTGACCAGGTTATTATCACTTGAGTATTGCAATTCACACATGTTTATCAAACTTTTATGGAAGTCCATCAACACTATTAACTGGGGCTATTTGATACTATGAATTCTCCAGCTCTCTGTACCTCTTCAGAGTTGAGTAGGCCAACATGAAGCACAAATGACTTTTGTATACCTGCTAATTAACTATAATGTGAGACAAATAGAATGATTACCTTGAAAAGATAATTATTAAACTCTATAAAGTTTCAATGTTTTCTATTTACTTTGAAAACTCTACGCATGTGAAATAAGGAATAAGATATGTAGCAGGGGGATAAAGACTCTCTCCCCTGAAACAAAGAACCAGTTACCTTTCTTTTTTTGGCAGCTGTAGCCTTCAAAGGAACTCTGGATGAGAGTGACTCCTCTGAGGCAAATTTGTTGATGTTATACTATGTATTGGAGTTCTCAGTGCATTAGTTCTGAAATAGAGGACAATGACAGGTTGTATCAGCCCATTGTTCTTTAAAATCTTACAAAGAAAGGGTCAAGAACTGATGTTTCGGTGACATATAAGTTTCACACACTTGAATGGCTTGAAAACTAATCTTACTATGATGTTATGTCTAAGTAAATAAATAGTGGCATCTGCTAAAAGCTGTACAAATAGTGACTACTCTGGTATAAAAGAAAAATAACTTCTGGAAATTTTTGGGTATTGTTTTTTACATTATATACTTAATATATTATTTGCTCACAAGATTGTCTTGCTAAGTAATGTTATCATAGCTATTCTACTGTAACTAACTTTTCATTCACTTCATTATTCCTATTTTGACGTCTTTGTTAGCCATTAGTTAAGCAATCTGTACATACACAAAAGATAACTAGCACCACGGTACTAAGAAGAGTACTGAATTAACTAACAGAAGAAACAATAACTATAAATTTGGTTATATTTTATTTCATTCCTAAAGCTCCAGCAAGATTACTGGATTAAGTATTTCAACCACTTTTGCATTCCTTTATTTTGCCCTAGCTACAGATTTTGCATCTTCAGAAGTACTCTCACACTCAGTAGGAACCTGATTTCCTGGTAATAAGCATTCTATAATATTACACAGTAAAATAATTATTCCTATATTC